TTCTATATATAAAATCACTTCTGTATCTGTTTTTCGTATCTATTAACTTCTTTCTAATTAACATCTTTTTTCCCTTCTGCATTCACTGTGATTATCTCAATAATCAGATTTTTCAGTGATAATCATTCAGTTCCTTCTTGTTTCTGATCTACTAGTTTTGTGAAATGTTGATTTGTTTCTGATTTGTCTCCGTAAATTTACAATCTCCTTTTTGTCTCATTTGCAAGTCTTAGCATTTCATCATTCAACTTTTCTAAAAAATTAAACTTATCTTGTCATTAGGTTGTATGATGCTGTCCGGAGGAACAGCTTTGCTCAGTTAAATTTCCCTCTTGTTTGTATTCTTTGCTCCTTTTCTTCTAAGGTGAAGTAAGCTTGCAGTTACCATGCAATTTCTTTTCATTTTGCTCTTGCTTTGCAGCTTTGTGAATTCATTATTTTTGTTCTGATTTAATATAGGTGACTCCTCCATATTTCACTTTAAGAAACCAGTTTATTCTCACCTTGAAGTCAAAAGGCTGAGTACTTTATGTTTTATTCTATTTTCTCTAGGCTACAAGAAGAATAAGGTATGGCCGGGTGAGTAAGACTACTTTGAGGTAGTATAAAATCTTTGTTACAATATCCAGGTTCTTTTCTAAGATTGTGTTAAATGCTTTATGTAAAATTCACTTCATCCAATTGTAGGTGCACCAGTCCTGGGGAGATGACTCCCTTGATTCAACATATCTAGGTCTTTTACTAATCACTTTGAAGTTTTATTAGATAAGATTATGCAATTATGTTTCATTCCTTGTTTTATAGTACTATTTTGTTTTCTATTGTTTGTTCATTTTATCAGCTATTCATTGGTATTATTAATCCCTTAAGGAAGTTGCAATTGGCCATCTTAACTCAGAAGGATACAATCATGTCTGTAATCTATTTAGAATATATTCCAGCATTCTAAATAGATTTTTCCCCCCACTTCGGAAAAACTTTGTTTTCCATATGCTTCTCAGTTCTGTTCATTGAATAATCATCCTTCCCCACAGATTTTTAAATGTCACTCCTGTAGAAAATTCTTACATGTATGTTTTTGTACTTTCTTTTTGGTTCCTCATAATGTATATTCCTGTCCCAGAACCACTATTTTTAATCACTGCAGGATAATAAAATATTTTCATATTGACAAGCTCATTGTTGTTCTTCACAATTATCTTTGCCATTTTCTGTATGTATTTTAAATCCTATATACAAAGGTTTAGGGTCCATAGCATGTGGGTACTTAGAATTGTTGTTTGTTATGTGCCATCGAGTCGCTTGCGACTCATAGCGACCCTATGTACAAGAGCTCTATACACTCTTCTATCCTGTGCCAACCTAGCCATCTCAAAGGTATTTATTTCCACCTCTCTAGTCACAGAATCGATCCATCTCATCAAAGGTCTTCCCCTCCTTTGCCGCCCCTCCACTCTGCCAAACATGATGTCCCTCTCCAAGGACCAGTCCCTCCTTGCAACATGCCCAAAATATGTCAGACAAAGCTTCAGAATCCTTGACCCCAGGGAACATTCTGGCTTCACCCTCTCTAGGACAAACCTGTTTGTTCTCCTAGCAGTCCATGGTATATTCAACACTCTTCTCCAGCACCACATCTCAAAGGCATCAGTTCTCTTTCTGTCATCCCCATTCACTGTCCAACTCTCTGATGCACAGCACGTAATTGCGAAGACTATAGCCCAGATCAGGCGCACCTTAGTCTCCAGTCTGACATCGTTGCTCTTCAGTTCTTGAGAGGTCCCTCACAGCTGACTTTCCCATTGCAATTCGTCTCTTGATTTCCTGGTGCTGCTGTTACCAAGAGTGTTGATTGTGGAGCCAAGTAAACTAAAACTTAACGATCTCAATCTCTTCACCATCCATACTGATGCTGCCAATTGGCCCAGTGGTTAGAATCTTTGTTTTCTTGATGTTGAGCTTCAGTCCATATAGGAGGCTGTAGTCCTTGATCTTCTGCAGCAAGCGCTTCAGGTCCTCCTCAGTTTCACCAAGTAGAGTTGTGTCATCTGCATAATGCAAGTTGTTGATGATTCTTCCACCAATCCTGATGCCACATTCCTCTTCGTATAGCCCAGCGTCTCAGATGATCTGTTTTGCATACAGATTGAAAAGGTATGGAGACAGAATACAACCCTGACGAACCCCCTTCTTGATTTTGAACCATGTAGTGTCTCCTTGCTCTGTTCTGACAACTGCCTCTTGGTCCGGGTATAAGTTTCACGTTAGCACAATCAAATGTTCTGGGATTCCCATTCTTCTCAGAGTCAGCCACAGCTTATTGTGGTCCACACAGTCAAAAGCTTTTGCATAGTCAATGAAGCACAGATAGATATTCTTCTGGTATTCTTTGCTTTCTGCTAAGATCCATCTAACATTAACTATAATATCCCTAGTACCATGACCTCTTCTAAATCCAGCCTGCACATCTGGCAGTTCTCTGTTGACATATTGTTCCAAACGTTTTTGGATAATTTTCAGCAGAATCTTGCTTGTATGTGATATCAATGATATTGTTCGATAATTTCCACACTCTGTTGGGTCACCTTTCTTTGGGATGGGAACAAATATCGATCTTTTCCAGTCAGTGGGCCAGCTGGTTGTTCTCCAGATTTCTTGGCACAACTTAGTGAGCACATCCAGGCCAGTGTCTGTTTGTTGAAATATGTCAGTTGGTATGCCGTCAACTCCTGGAGCCTTGTTTTTTGCCAATTCCTTCAGAGCAATCTGAACTTCCTCTTTCATCACCATAGACTCTTGTTCATATGTCATTTCATGAAATTCTTCTGTGTTAGTCAATTCCTTCTGATACAGTGACTCGTAGGTTTCATTAAAGTGATACTTTTTTCTTTTTTTTTTAGAGGAGCTTATCTTTAGAACATTGAGATTCCTGCCCAGGAACAGGTTCAAGTCTTTTCTCATGGCCTGGATGACGTTTTCCTTCACGTAAATCCTACACTTTTTGCAATTTTTTCCCCTTTTATGAACAAAATATCTTTCATTATGCTTTATAGATGATTATTACCATTAAAAGGGGGAAAAACAATAAGCCATTTTTGCTTTTGTTTAACATGGAATGCCTCACAAAGTGCACCCCTATTGAACAAGGCTGTGTGTCTCTTCCCTCGTTTTTCAGGTCCTGTTTACAAGATGCCAGTTAACAGCAAAACATCAGCCCTTTTCTTCTCCAACATTTTATTTCAACATTTGCAAACAGAGGTTAAAAGAATTTTACAATAAGTACTGTAAGTCCACTACCCAGATTCTGCCATTAACTTACTATGCAGCCATCTTTTACCACTCTCCCTACCTTTAATGTACTGCAATCACTTGCTATGCATCAGAAAGCTAGACAATGACTAGGAATGACTTACAAGGACTTATGGTGATGGAGAAGAGTACTGAATATACCATGGACTGCCAGGAGAACAAACAGATTCATCCTAAAAGGGGTGAGACCAGGCTGCTTCTCAGAGGCAAGGATTCTGAAGCTTTGTCTGACATACTTTGGGCATGTTAAGGAGGGACCAGTCCTTACAGAGGGACATCATGCTTGGAAGGATGGAGGGATAGTGAAAGAAAGGAAGTCCCCCAAGGAGATGCATTAATTCAGTGACTGGGATAATGTGGGCAGGTGTGTCAGAGATAATAAAGCCGGCATAGGATAGAGCAGGTTTCAGGACTACTTGACAGCACATAACAATAGTAACAACAATGTATTCTCCAAATTCCCCAGGTAGTGCAGAGATAAGAAGCCGAGGGGCTAACCAGAAAGGTGGAAGTTTGAGAGGAGTCAGGTATTTTGGAACAAAGCCAGGAGATCTACATCCAAAAACATCAATAACTGAACTCACTATAGAGTATGGCACACAGTTCTACATGTGGTGAGTGGTGCGAACGATGAGCTGGAAACCACTCCATGGCAATTTACAGTAAGAGTAATGTGTCCTCCATATTGTTCAACTTCTCATGTATAAAGAACAAAGGTCTCCAATAGTCCACTCTGGGATAGAGGCCAAATTCTTTAGCATACCATATAAGATTCTGGAGGTTCTATGTCGGACAGTTAACTGAAAGGTCGGCAGTTCTAATCACGAGTCACTCTGCAGGAAAATGTTTGCTCCTGGTAAGATTTAATGCAGTGGAAATCTGTGGGACTTCTGGTGGCCTACTGGCAAGAAGCTGTGCTATAATCCTGAATGTGTGCAGTTCAAATCCACCAGATGCTCCACTGGAGAAAGAGGGGCAATCTCCTCCTGCGGCAGTTGGAACTAAACAGTACACAACAAGAAAAATAAAAAAATAAAGCAGTAGAAATCTGATTGGTCACCATCAGTCAAATCAGCGGTGAGCTCTCTGGCTTTGACTCAGAAGTGACTCAATGGCAGTGGCTTTTTATAAGTTGACTAAACTCATCTTTTCAGTATCATTTCCTATTTGTTCTTTGTTTAGGGTCAAATAGTAAAGATAGATTTATTAGAAAGTTACATCCCCAAAGGGACAGATCTCCCTCCATGAAAGAAAATATGGAGGAGAGAGGCCTCATTTCTTATTATTTCTGTTTTTCTGTATATATTCAGCATTCTTTATCTGACCAGATCTTACTCTGCCTTGAAGAAATCCAACTAACACCTCACCCCTACCTGAAAATACCATCTCCACCGTGAAACCTCACAGACTTCTGTTGGCTACAGCAGCTACACCCATAAAGCTCAGCCCATGCATTACAGCCCATTGTAAATATTTGCGTATATGTCCATTCCCCACCAGACTATGAGATCACCAAAAGCAAAACTCTATTTCATCATTCTCTATCTGTGCTGTCAAGCAGAGTGTCTGACACACTGTGGGGCTCAACAGGCCTTATGGGCAAGAGATAACAAGTCTATCGGATTACAGAAGCGCATAACTCTCTGCTCCCTGGGAGACCACCTTTGAGGCTGGGAGAGTGGAGCACCCACCTGCACCGGCATGCCCAAATCTAAATTCAGACCACAATAAGGGTCAATATAGATCGTGAGAATGGGCTGTGAGGGGTCCTGAGCAAAGTCCTCCAGAACGGCATCATGCTCTTCCGTCCACGTGGCATCCGCCAGCCCTGTCAGCGAAGCTTGAGCGATGAAGAGCGGCTTCTATAAAAGAAGAGCAGACAGAAAGTCAGCACAGCTAGGGCTGTGAGTCACTGCTCCCACCCACAACTGCATGTGAGGACATGGAAGACAGGGTGAGTCGTCAGACAGGTTCAGGAAAACGACGAGAAAGCTAAGGACTAAATGGCTGACAGGCCTCCAGTTTGTGAAGGAACAACGTGGTCTAGTCTAAAAGTATTATATTTTAGGGCATTATTTTTATCTTGGGAGTA